CTCAGCTTCGCGCCGCTCCCGCCCGGCGCGCCTCAGCCGCCACCCGCCTCAGGCAAGGATACGAAGTACACGGAGAGGAAGATTAGCGCGCAGCAGTCCAGCAGAGAGAAGATAAACACCACCGCCTCCATCCTCCGCCGCTGTGGTAGCTCCCTGCTCCAAAAACAGCCCGCCCGCCGCCTGCCTCAAAGGACCGCCTGCCTCAAAGGCCCGCTCACGTCACAGGCCCGCGTCGCGTGTGGCGCGCTTCCGAGCCCAGCTGTATGCCGGGAGTTGTAGTCTAAGAACGGCTGTCGGTGCTGAGGCATGCTGGGAAGTGTACTCCGTCGGCGCGAGCGCTTTCAAGAGATAGAGTTTCTACATTACCTGGTAACTCCAGATATGGTGACGGACAGTTAGTGAAGAGTATTTACTGAATGCAGATAGGCTTGCTACCCAGAAAGAGCTGTTTGCCTTGTGTTATGGTTTGGGTCTTATACCAGTCGCCTGTTGAATCTTAACAGATGACCCTGTAAGGAGCGGGGCTGATGGTAGGAAGTGAGGTCACTAGGGGCGGGCTCTGGAGGGTGGGGGAACCTCACTGTACTGCGCAGGCGCCTGGCGGGGCCTCAGCTACCTATGTTCGGCGTTCTGCGCTTCCTGTTTCTGGTACTCTGTGGTAGCAGAGAGAAGCTGAACCCCGCGCGGGGGAGAAACTGTCGCTAGTACCTGCCCTAGCCCTGGCACTTGTTAGGTGAAACACGCGAGCGATTTTCTTCCCGAAGCGCAGATCTAGCCGTGCACACCGGGCTCCGCGGTGATCTCCCAGCGCTCAGTTTTTCAGAGTGTCCTCTCCGAATTTTAAGATCTAGAAAAACTGCATGCATTACCCTTACCACCCATTCACTCATTAACACACCTCCCTACAGTTACTCCCTGCACCCCGCAGAACCAAAGAACCAGGAAGACTAATTGGACGCTGCCTTGGTGGTTGGGGAGGCGCGGGCACTGAAGTAGCCCCTACCTGGAAGGCCGGTCGGCTGGAGAGGAGTAATAGCCCCGCGAGGTAAGGACACCGGGCTCACCTGCCAGGCGTGCGGCCCGTGCACGTGCGGTGCGTGGATCAACATGAGGAGCACCTGGGGAACGTGGGGTGGGGGAGTCTGCGGGCTTGCCGCGTGCACTGCGTGGGGAAAAGGCAGGAAAGTAAACCCACGAGTGACTGGCCCTTGTGAGTACTTGCCGGGGAACCCTGGAGGCTGAGTGAGACAGCCAGGCGGAGGAACCACGTGGAAGCAGAAATCTGAAGGAGAGCCGCGGGAAGGTGTGCAGGCGGTGTTTCGCAAGGCACAGTGACAGAAGCTCGATGTGACCCCGTTAGAAATAAAGGTAGAGGTGGAGGTGGGGATCCTAGCATGGCTGAAGCAGAGAGGAGTGAGACAGACGAGAATTCAGGCACAGGCAGGAGTTAACTGTTATTCTCGTATGAGAAATCAGTGGAGAGTGTCAAGGAGTGTAGTACTTCGATCTGATTTACATATACAATATTGCCTGGCTGTGTGGTGAAATGAAAGGGGGTAAGTTTGTCAGCCTGGAGGTCACTTGGAAAATAGAATAGACGGGAATTACTGTAAAGGCAAAACCAACTGGAGTTGCCTGACACAGCTGGGGTTCTTAGATTCATTAAGGGCTCGCTCATAGGTTAAAGCTAGCAGTACAATCTACAGATACTACATCAGCTATTGCTGTGTATTGTATCTTGTCCACAAGCCACATGAATACTAATCTCACTAACTGCTTTTCTTACATGCCAAGAAAGTTACTTTAGGTTATGATAAAACTAACAAATTCTATTTTTTTTTTCCTGGTTCCAGAGATGAAACTCAGGTCCTTGCACTTGTGAGGCACAACCACTGAGCTAAATCTCTGGTCCCAAATTCTATTCATTTTTGTATCCATTGTACTTTGTATCCTGTCAATAGCAGATGCTTAGTAAATGATTGCTGAGTGAATCACTCAAATCAGGAAAGGTTTTATTAAAACTGGTTTAAATTTTATTAAACACAAGCTTCATCTCACATTCTTTCTGAAGTTGAACATGAAAGTGACTATCCTACATTCTTTCTTTGTTGTTTTATCCTAAGAAAATATAAAAGCTGGCATCATAATGAATAGTAATTACTAAATTTCCATTTTTAGTTATGATAGTTTTTGTCTCTTATACCTAAAAACTCAAAACATGGTTGCAATGTCAAAACTGAAGAATACAAACTTTGGGATAAGAAAATGGCCATGATAAAAAGCCAATAATTAGCTGTGTGTGGTGACCCCCATGCCTGTAATCCCAGCACTTGGGAGGCTGAGGCAGGAGGATTGTCACAAGTTTGAGACCATCCTACACTGTAGTAAGACCCTGTCTTGTATCTGAATATATTATGGGAAAGCTCAGAGGAGTGGGCTAGCTCCCCACAGGTGGCTTCTAGGGCAGGAGGGACCCAAGACCCTCAGAGGCAAAGCCTGGCCAGGCCAGTCAGCCACAGTATTCCTTACTTCCTCTTTCCTACACTCTTTCCCTTGCAATTGCAAGGATAGCCAGCCCACTCCTCTGAGCTTTCCCCACCCATGCATCACTTTTGGGGTACCTAGACACCCTACTTTGTTCTCCCTGACCCAGTGGCAAATGAGGATGAATGACAGACTCGGAGTTACTTTAACATGTGGGCAGCCAGGGGGCTCTGGCCTCTTAATAGGCAGAGCCCCCAGCTTCTGGTTTATCTTGCCTTTATTCACCTAAACACAGTACGACGATCAAAGTAACACAAGATTCCTCTTATCCATTAGTATGTGCTCAGGTAAACAACTTAATCTCAGCTGTCTTAACTCTTACCTAGTACCTGTAATGTGCAATCACCCCTGAGTGCAGCTTTTCTCCTATGTGTTCACACAGGCCAATTAGGCCTCAATTCTCCTCTGGTCTCCCACAAAATAGAAAAAGAATATAGAAAAATATTGAAATAAAAAATTAGTTCTTTCAAAATATTAAATTGAAAAATCTGGGGTTGGCTGGGGATTTAGCTCAGTGGCACTGCACCTACTTCCCAAACGCAAGGTCCTGAGTTCAATCCCTGATACCAGAAAAAAAATTGAAAAATCCGTAGCTACATAGACTAAACAAAAATAACTCAATACTACTAAAATCAGAAATGGACATGATGCTGATTCATGTCTGATACCAGCACTGGGTGCTGAGGCAAGAGGATCACCTCGAGTTTGAGGCCAGCCTGGGCTATATAGTTCAAGGTCAGGCTGAACTACGTAGTTAGACCCTGTCTCAAAAATAACAACTAAAAGGAAGAAACAGACATGATGACGTTACTACTGACTCTACAGAAACAGGATGGATAATGAGAGGGTACTATGAAGTTACACACCAACAAATTGGACAACCTAGATAAACTCTCAGAAACACAAAACTATCAAAAGTAAATCTGAGCCGAGCATGGTGGCTCACGCCTGTAATCCCAGCACTTGGGAAGCTGAGGCAGGAGGATCGCTGTGAGTTCGAGACCAGCATGGGCTACATAGTGAGTTCCAGGTCAGTCTCCACTACATAGTGAGACCCTGTCTCCAAAAAAAAAAAGGTAAATCTGGAAGAAATAGAAAATCTGAATAGACTTCTGACTGGTAAAATTTAATTGCTACCAGGTATGGTGGCAGACACCTATAATCCCAGCTACTTCAGAGTTTGAGGCAGGAGGATTGCAAATTTGATGCCAGCCTGCACAATTTAGAAAAACACAAATTCTTAAAAACATTCATAAATGATTCAGCAGTTCTACTCCTAAGTATATATATCCAAAAAATTGAAAGCAAGATCTCAAAGGGTGGTATTTGTTCACTCAAGGCAGCATTAATTACAGTTGCTACAACATGGAATCAACTCACGTGAACGTAACATGTACATATATGTAATGTTGCTCAGGTTAGCAGGAAGAAATTCTGATATGTGCTACAACATGGGTGAGTCCCGAGGACATTCAAGGAAATCAGCTAGTCATAAAAAGTCAAATACATATGATTCTGCTTACATGAGGTGCTCAGAGTAGTAGTTAAAAAAAAAAAAAAACACAGAAAATAGAATGACAGTTCCAGGAGCTGAGGAAAAAAGAGTTAAACCCCAGTATGATGGAAGAGAGACATGAAAGAATCAGGAAGTGAAGTTGGAGCCAGGCAGATACTTTAAGTATTGTAGTGGGAAATATATCCTTAACAGGCACTTGAAAACCATTGCAGAGGATGGACATCTGACCTGAACTCTTCCGAGTGATGTCAGCAGTGACCTTGGCATTGGCCACTTAGGTTCATGGGCTCAAGTTCCTTTGCTTATCGCTGACCAATCAGAAGCTATACATTTTGGTAAAAAGGAAAAAGATTTGTTCAGAGCTGGCTCCCAGGAGATGGAGGGGCCCATTCGCCTCAGGTCACTGTCTCCCACGTATAGGTTGGTAAGGGTCTTTCATGGTAAGGGACAGAGAGAGGAGGAGCACAAACCAGTCACATCTCCAGCTTACTTTACCACTCCACCTTCAGCTCCTTTTTGGTTTTTTGTTGTTGTTGTTGTTGTTGTTTTGTTTTTAAAACAGGGTCTCACTATGTGCCCCAGGCTGGCCTTGAATTTGAAGTGATCCTCCTGCCTCAGCCTCCAAAGTGCTGGGATTAACAAGGCTGCACCAACATGCCCAACTCTCCTCTTCCTCTTTTCTTGTGAAAAGGCAACAGAATTCCAACCTCCTCCGCTGGTGGCATCTACAGATTCTGTCATTTCTTTTGGGCAGAGAAGAGGAGGTGTTGGTTATGTGCTCAGCAGGAAGGACTGAAGTGGCTTATTTCTAAAAGAAAAAAAAATCTAGCTTTTAAAGTTCCATTTTGCAGTGAAGTTACAACATGGGTAAGATGATAAAGTTAGAAGATAAAAGTTAGGTGTTAACGTCTTAACCCCTCCTACATCCATGTCCTCGTGGCCCCGTTCAGTACACTACTTAGGTGGCACTTAATACTGTTATGAGCCACTTAAGACCTGACATTGGAATGTTGAAAACAAATCAAGTAAACAGAAACTTAAAACCTGCAACTTCTGACAAATTTATTTTTAACTTACAAATTTTGTACGCTTGTAGCACATGATTACATTCCTCATGGAGAGTTGATACAAATACATTTCTTTTGGGGGAATGAGTGAATCAGTAATCATATGATAAACCTCTTTGGGCAGAACGTCCACTAAAGAAAAATGTGGGATCCTTCTGACCGTGCTCAAAAAATCCGTTGATAGCCCGGGTGTTGGGGCACACGCCTGTAAACCCAGCACCTGGGACGCTGAGGCAGGAGCATTGCTATGAGTTCGTGGCCAGCCTGAAGTAATTGCTCGTTTCAACACCCCACCGCCCAGAAATGCAAAACAATCTGTTGGCCAAAGCGTATGAGCTAGTGAGGTCTAAAAGCAGAGGAATGGCCTACTCCTCCAGGTAACGTTACGTTTTATGTGCGCACCGGCCCTGGTGCGGGTCTCCAGACTGAGGTGCCTGAGGAACCGTCCGCAGCGCGGCCCAGCCCCCTCGGGCAGGTCGGCGTCCGCCCAGCGGCATTTTGCTTCCTCTTTAGACTCGTCGGCCGGTCCAGGCTAACAAACGCGTTCGGAAAGGGGAGCACAACGAACAGCCACAGGCCACTTCCGGTGGGCGATGAGGGGCGTGTCGCCCCGGGTTGCTTCCGGTAGCCGGAGGGTTTTCCTAGGGCCACTTCCGGTGGGCTGCTTCCGGTAGGCGGGGAGACTGCCTTGAGGCCACTTTCTGTTGGCTGGTTCGGGACGCAAAGCCAAGGAGACTGGCTTCCGGAAGAGGCGATGCGGTCGCCTTGGTGTTGCTTCGGTAGGCCCGAGAGGCCAGCAGAGTAAGCGGCTTCTGGACAGCGGAGGACTCTGGTCGCGTGGGCGTCGCCGTACGGCGTGAGAAAGAGGCCCCTGGCGCCATGCGGCCGCGGCTGGCGGTGCCGGCTGACCGCAGGCTGAAGCAGCGGGTAGTGCAGGTGAACGGGGCCGGGGAGGTGGTGCCCGCGCGGGTCCCCTGTTCGTGGCCTCGGTTTGCAGGCGCTCATTCTATGGTGTCTGGGGCCAGCAGCAATAAGTACGCAGTAGATCGTTCCTGAAGCGGGAAGGGCCGAGGAGCTGAGGGCGTGGTCCGGATAACTCGGCGGCCGCTTGGAAAATACCCGCGTGGGCGAACGGCGTGCTCCTTTCCCCTTAAGCTCGGCTGCCTGGGAGCGGGCGCCGGCTCAGCGCCTGTTTCGCAGTAGTACTTGCAGGATTTTTTCGTTTTATCGCAGCGTCCTCTAAAAACCAAGTCTCCAAAGATGTGGCCGAAGGCGCACTGCCTCGAGGCAGCACGTCGGAACCACCGTCCCGCGGCGAGCCTGTCCTTTGCGTGACCACCGCGAGGGGGCTGCAGCTCCGGTGGCTGCGGCCACGGCCCGGTGACGACCCGACCTGATGGATTGTTCGGTGGCTTTTAGCGGTGGTCTGGGCCTGCGTATCACGTAGAACAGTTTGCATTGAAGCGTGGTGTGTTTGAGTAGCCTCTCGCCTCTTGATTGCAATCACCGGATTTGAAACGCTGAATGTTTTCTTTGTCATATTTCCTGTTTTAGTACCTCGCCAGTAATAGATGTGGCAAATATGTGGACACTGGAGTCTTAGCATCTGATTTGCAAAGAATGTACAGGTAAAAGAAAGTAGTTTCCTTCCTCCCACCCCTCCCATTTAAAAGTTTTAATGATGCTTAATTTCACATTGATATCAGTGCCTGATGCCATTGATCTCCAGTTCAAAAGCTTGGAACTCATTTGTCACACATTTATACACTGTGTTGGGGGGGGGACTTTTTACCCTTGAGCACCTTTAAGTTGAATTAAATAACAAGGAAATGTAAGGCAAATATGGATTGAGGGATATTTTTATGCCCTAGCTGGCTGAACCCTTCAAAAATTTCAGTGTCACAAAGAAGGTAGAACGATTATTATAAATTAAAAGGGACTAAAGAGATATGACACCCAAGTCAATGCATGAACCGTCGCACTTTACATTAAAATTTTAAAATCCAGTATTTTGGGTGAACAATTTGAAAAGTTATCATATGGGCTATACATTAGATCTCATTCATCTAAAATTTGTGCTGAATGTACTATGGCTGTATAAATACGTTTGTGTACAGATTTTTAGGTGAAGTGTGAAATTTTTCAAATGACTACACTATCTTGGTAAAAAGACATAAGTAAAACGTGTCAAAATGTTAATTTGAGAATATAGGTTAAAATGCGTGAATGTTTATTATTTCAGGATTTAAGTTGCCTTGAAATTTCAAAATAAAAACATTTAAAGAAAAAGAACTAGTAAAAGGATCAAGAAAAAGTAAAAAATATAAACTTAGACGTCGTCTACCTGAGCTTGGTGGCATACGCCTGTAATCCCAGCACTCTTTGGAGGCTGAAGCAGGAGGATTGCTCCCAGTTTGAGGCCAGGCAAGGCTGCAGAGTGAGTTCAAGGCCAGCCTGAACTACAGAGCATCACCCTGCCCAGAAAAAGTTGTCTGAGAAAAGGTTCATGGCCAGTGAATACTGACATACATGATTTTGCAACTTTGTGTCATCCATTTAGATTAAACTTAATGAAAAAGTAGTTGTGGAGACCACTGTACTAAAATCTGTGGGGTTTTCTTTTTTCTTTTCCAGTATGGACTACGGCCGAAGAAAAAGGAATGCTTTTAAGATTCAGGTAGAAAAAGGTGAGTCCTTTAGAGCTGAATTATCAGTAGTTATAGAAAAGACTTTCAGTTCATGGCATTTTTGTTTGTTTGTTTTAGTATTTAACATACTTAGTAGTGAGAAGGAGTTTAAGAATCTAACAGAATTAGAAGATGAGCATCTGACAAAAAGACCAAGACAAGGCGGAGAGGATAATGAGTAAGTTATACAAAATGGAGGGTTTTACCCCCAGAGTGTTACATTCATATCAAACTTTCATTGGCACTTCATGGTGAACAAAGCCCTGGGTAATACTTCTAACCTCCTCTCCATGTCCTTTCTTCCAGCTGTACTGAACACTCAGTATTCATTCCCCAAAGACATTACACTATTTCTTTGTGCCCTTGTGTGTTTGCTTAAGTATATGTTTCAGCCTTCAAGTGAGTTGAGGTGTTAATTGCTTTGTTAGACCCTTTTAGACACCCAATTTTGTGTTTCCGTAGCTTATTAGAAATATTTCTTAATGAGAACCAAGACCTGTCAAGTGAAGGTACAGGATCCCAGTAATGAATGTAACTGTATTGTAGACCTAGATTGTACCAATAAACTCAATCCCAGCATTTGGGAGGCTGATCGGTGCAAGTTGGAGGCCATCTTTACACTACATATTTCAGCACTACCCTGAACTTCGAGGTGAGACCTTGTCTCAGAAAAGTAGAAAAATATTTCTAATTGTTAGCATATCATTTTTTTTTCTTAGCATATCATTTGGTTTTTACTTTTTGGAAATTTTATACTTTTTGTATTACTGATGAAGTTGTTTCATTATCTTTTTCTCTGCTTGATATAATGGGAAGTACATCAAAAGGTGCCTAATGATTTTGTTTAAGAAGTAATGTTGAGGGGTTTTTAAATAATTTTATTCAGGTGTAATTGATGCAGAATAAGCTATACATTTTAACAGTACACAAATTGTTGATTTTTTACATATGTGTATATGCTCAGTAAACCATCACAAGACAACATTTCTGTCAACCTCCAAAGATTTCATGTTCTCTTTAGTCCCCATTTCCAAACACCCATTGGCTTGCTTTCTGTTTCTATAGGTTAGACTGCATTTTCTAAAATTTTGAATGAATAGAATCATCCAGTATATATTTTTAAAGTTCCGATCTTTCCCCTAACATGATTTGATATCTACCAGGGTTGTTGCATATCTTAGTAGTGTATTGCTTTTTATTGGTAGTTATGGATGTGCCACAATCTCTGAATTTATCTGTTGATGGGACAGTTGAATTGCTGCCAATATTTAACTGTTACAAATATGCTAAAACCATTTATGTCCGCATCTTTGTGTGGACAATAGTTTTACTTCTCTGAAATTTTTAACTAAAAAAAATTTATTTTTATTGATATATTTTTTAAGAAGACGATTTATTTGAAGAAGGGAAGAGAGGACAGATAGCCACTCTGGACAAGTAGGAAGTACTTGAAAGTGAAATACTCCCCCTACTTATTTATTTATTTATTTATTTTTATTGGAGACAAGGTCTTGCAGCCCAGGCTGACCTCGAATTTAGATTCTCCTGCCTCAGCCTCCAAGTTGCTGGGATTATAGGCATGTGGCACCACACTTGATTTTTTCTCTTTCTTTTTTTTTTGTTTTTGTTTTTGTTTTTTTTTGAGACAGGGTCTCACTATATAGTTGAGACTGACCTGGAACTCACTATGTAGCCCAGGCTGGTCTCGAACTCACAGCGATCCTCCTGCCTCAGCCTCCTGAGTGCTGGGATTACAGGAGTGTGCCACCACGCCCAGCCTTTTCTTTCTTTCTTAATGTCAATTTTGCTGAATTGTGTTTTTAAAGAAATTTGTCCCCTGGGCACAGTGGCACATGCTTGTAATCTGAGCAGTTGGGAAGTGAGACAGGGTATCATGAGTTAGAGGATAATTTGGGGTACATAGGCTCTGTCTTTCCCCAAAAAATAAAAATAAATAAAACAAAAGAAATTGCCCATTTTGTCTAAAGTGTGGAATTTGTTGGTATAATTGTTTTTGCAGTCTTCTCTTGTTATTTAGTATCTGTAGGATATATGGTCCTATCCATGGCAGAGTAGTACGCCACTGTATTTTTTTAAATAAATTTTCTTTCTCTTCTCACTGTTTATAGCTGAAACTTTTTCATTTGATTTTTTCACAATTTTCATCTCTTAACTTCCTATTTGGATATTTGGTTGTTTCTGTTTGCACTGTTATGTAATTACTAATCCTCTAATGCATAGTATATATATCTTTGTACACATCACATTGCTTTTTTATGTTAAATTCCTGACCTGGAATTTCTGAGGGCAGAGATATTAACGTATTTGAGATTGCTGGCACATTTGGAGGTATTTTATAAAAAAGTTATCCTACTGTGTTCTCTCAACAACTCTGCATAAAGGGCATACTTCTCTGCATTCTTGTAATCCTACTTAAACTATTAGAAGTTTAATGTTCCATGTCCAAAATGCTTGGGGCTACAAGTGTTTCAGATTTCACATTTTTCGGGGTTTGGAACCAACTAAGCAAAAAATTCGTTACTGTTTCATATGTACCTGTATATACATAGATTGAAGATACTTTTGTACAGTATTTTTAGTATGCCTGCTTTTTCACTGCAACTATTTCATAGGTCTGGTGTGACATACTTTACTTTTGGTGGCATGTTGGTGCTCAAGTTTCACATTGTTGTTGAACATTGTATATTTTGTATTTTCAGATAAGGGTTACTCAACTTGCTTATAGGAAGTCATATTGTTTATATTTGAAATTTTATTTGATTTTTTGAGACAGGGTCTCAATATGTAATTCAGGCTGCCTTGAACTTAATACGTAGCCTAAGCTGGCTTCAAACTTGAGGCAATTGTCCTTCCTCAGCCTCCCAAGCACTGGGATCATAGGCATGCACCACCACACCTGGTTCTTACGAAATTTGTTGATAACTGGTAAGGTCAGAAATTTTGTGTGTGTGAATTGGTTGCTTATGTTTTTTGTTTTTTTCTTCTCTTTTATTTGAGAAATAGTTGAATTAGTGTCAGAGCTCTTTGCATAAAATAGCCCCCTTCTCTCCCACTCCCTGTGGTACTGGGGATTAAACCCAAGGCCTTCTCACTGATTTACATCATTGCCCTTTTTTATTTTGAGGCAGGGTCTGGCTAAGTTGCTAAGTTGCCTCAGCTTCCCAGAGGCCTAGGATTACAGCCTGCTGCCCTACATCTTCAATAGTACCTCTTTTTTTTTAAATATTCATTGCAAATGTTTGTCCCATTTTGCCCTTTGCCTTTTATTTTGGTTTGCAATATCTCCTTTTTTTAATTCTGCTTGCTGAATCATAGATTTTAAATTTTTAAAAAATTTTTACAGTGTCTTTGATTAGAGAAATTTTGCATTTTTAATATAACCTTTTCCATTATGGCTTAAGCTGATATGTTTAGAATAGTTTCTTTCACAGAAATATATAAAATGGTATTACCTATACTCATATTTAACTCTTTAACCTACTTGGAGTTGGATTTTTTGGTTTTGTTTTGTTTTGGGTAGAGTATAAATTGTAGAGCAGCCCGTCACAGTTGCTAATCCACCATTTTTACACCAATCAGAAATGTATCAGTTTGTAGTTATTAAATGTTCAGTTTTTGGTTATCTTTTGAGACAGAGTCTAACTATGTAGTTTAGGCTGGCCTTGAACTCAGTGTAGCCCAGGTTAGCCTAGAGCTCTTGGTGATCCTCCTGCCTCAGCCTTGCACATGCTAGGATTACAGGTGTACACCACCACACCTGGCTAAGGTGGATTTTTGAATCCCAGTTTCTGTGCTTCCAGAGTTTGGACTTTTTAACCACTTTAGTATTTTGCCTTAATATATTTACTTGCTTTAGATAGTAATTTTTAAGGATGCAATAGAAACGCCTTTAAATCATTTTCCCCTCTTTTTTTACTGAGGTGTACTGAAAGCTCTTCTGATGGTGATTCAAATGTAGAAGATTACACAGATCCACAGGTAAGCTAGATATTTACCAGGCCCACTTTGATAATTTAAAAATATCATTATGTTCCCCTCAAGGAAAAAAAGCATTAACAGACAGTAAGAGACATTGAACACTGGTGCAATGATGGATTTTTATGTTTATGGTCAGTTATATGCAGGAAGGGGGAAGAGAACAGTCAGAAATAAGGGTAAACACAAATAGAAAGGGATTAATAGTAAACGTTGAGAAAATATATTTCATGCAAAAGTGCTGGCATTATTGATGCTTAGGTTTAACTAAGATGTGGCAGTTATTTATAACTTGATCATTTATTGGTAAATTTGTTTTTTAATGTATTAAAGGAATGAGACTGAGTTATATATGATCTAGTTCTGAGTTGATGGAATAGGAATGACTCTCACTTCCAGTTTGTTTTCATACTTTCTTGTATTTTTTGAAAAGTAACCAGGCCAGGGATTTAGCTCAATGGGTCCACCACCTGCCTCGCAAGCACAAGGTCCTGAATTCAATCCCCAGTACCAAAATAAAAAAAGCAGCCATACTTTTTGTTTTAGTCACCGATTATGAATTGACCCTCCATGAACTTGGAGTGTTGGTAGGAATAAATCTTTTTGAATAGTAAGTGCTTAGTTGGCAAATCCTCTTACTGTAAATGCCTATGCATTCTGATTGTAAATATTACAAGAAGAATTCATTGAAAATACAATTTAGAAAACTTATTAGTATAGGAAATGGAGCCTTTCTTGAATGCCTGTTGAATAATTTATACTAAAATCCTATTTCTGCCAGTCAGCAAACCACATGAACACTTCACTGCTCTCTCTATATCGGAAAGGAAATCCTGATTCTGTTTCAAATACTCCAGAGATGCAGCAAAGAGAAACTACTGCTTCAACACCACAGCTGAGTTCTAAAACGGGCTCCATTCCTTTGAAGACTCCTGCCAGAGAGTCTGAGGGAGGATGGTTTATTGAAAGAACCCCACATGGAAAGAAAAACAGTTTTTTCTTGGAGCCATCGGCCGAGAAGAGTAATCATAAGCCTTTATATGAGGTACTGGTATTTTCATAGTAGAATTGTAGTGCCACATAGTTGGAGTACTTTACAATCCCTTTATTAAATGTAATGTCAAGTAGAAACTTGAATTTTACAAAAGTCATAGGAGCTTGATCACTTTGCACTAGTGCTGTCATCGCTAGTCTAGTCAAAGCCTGTCTTAACTACTGAAGTAGACTTCCGATGGGATTCTGTGTCCTGTCGTGTTTTTATGGTGCTGGGAATGGAACCCAAGGCCTCAGTCTCATCCCCTACTCTCGTCTTCTTCCACTTCCCTCCTCGGCTTTAGCCACAGTAGCCTCCTGATGTTTCTAGGACACACTCACCAAACTCTAGGACACGTTCTGTGGGCTCCTGTGGCTCACTCCATCAGGTTTTCACAGCTGTTCGCATGTAATCCTTGCCTTTCATTAGACGGAAAATAGCATGGTGTCAGATTCTGTTTCTGTGTTCTCTCCTTTCCATGGTACTCAGGGTTGGACCTGGATCCTTCGCACTGCCTCCCTGGTTGTTTTTAGTAGCCTTTAATTTTATCTTTTAAATTAATTTTATTTCGTACACTTCTGGTATACATAATGATCACATTCATCATGGGGAATTTGTACTGTACATAATATACCTTGATTCTTCTATTCTTTTTTTTTGCCATTCCCCTCCCCTCCTTTCAACCTTCCCCTTGTTATTTACAAAAGCTTTGTTTCTATATTTTTTCTTTCTATTCTTTTTTTCTTTTCCCTTCCCTTTCTCTCCCCTACCCTTGTTCTGTTTCCCATGTGAATATTTTCTTCTTACTCTCCAATATTTCCATTTTGGTCCTTATTTATACTTTCGGTTTCTCATATAACGCAATATTTAAACATGTGTCAGATTTTTTTTTTTTTCCTAGTACTGGTAATTGAACTCAGTACCTTACACTTGCCAGGCAAGCATGGCACCACTGAGCTGCATCCCTGGCCTCCTATTTATTTCACTTAAAAGTATGATTTTTGCGGGGGGGCGGGTACCGGGGATCGAACTCAGGTCCTTGTGCTTGTGAGGCAGGTGCCAGAACCACTGAGCTAAATTCCCGGACCTTAAAAGTACGAATTTTTAATTTTGAGACAGGTGTCTCACTAAGCTGCCTAAGCTGGCCTTAAATTTGTGATCCTTGAAGAGAGTTAGGATTATAGATGTGTGCCACCATGCTCAGCTGGGTACTTCCTATTGCCCAACCCCCACCCCTTTTTTTTTTAAGCACTTACACGGTAACTTGATCTTACTTTTTATTGTGGGGTTTGGGAGGGGGTGGTACCAGGGATTGAACTCGGAATTTTTTTTTTAACTTGCTCTTCGTCTCCCTACATGAGACTTGTTCCAGGAGAGTAATGACTGAGTTTTAATGTGTCCTGGGATAAAATAGTCTGCCTCATGGCAGTCAATGAGTTTGATAAATTAGTACCTAATGGGCTTCCTGAGGCACACATTTACTAAAAATAATTGCTTTGGTTATAATTAGAGTTGATGGTTTTATGCAGAAGAAAGATTGTGGCTGAAACTGCAATGTAATGTTTTGCTCTGTTCAAAATAATGTCTCACGATGTCTTCATTAGTACATATATTATGAAAATGTGTAGAATAGGCAGATATCTTTTTTTAAAAACCTTTAAAATTGAGATTTGCCGTACCTGAGATAAAATGTAGCTTATGAATTATCACAGTGAACATGCTGGGTGCTTTCCTAAACTGATTAAGGCATGGCTGAGTGAGAGGGGCTTTGAAATCCCCTGGCCCCACTGGATGGCTCCTTGTCCATTCATGGTGGCTGGCATTCATGGTGGCTGGTGCTGGTGCAACAAAGGAGCTGAACTTTAATTTAAATGTAAATTTAAAACGTACTCAGTTGAGTTTTTCAAAACCTCTAAATATGTATGAAACAACTTAGGTATGTGAATTTCCATTTTTAGGTATAAATTTTACAAGATCTAAATAGAAATCAAGGGCTTCCCATGAAAATTTAGTGTTCGAATTAAGATGTGCTGTTAAAGTACACGTTTGACTTTGAGAACTTACTGTAAAACATCTCATTAATAATTTTTTTAACTATGTTGAAATGAGAGTGTTTGGATGCACAGTTAAATAAAATAGATGGTTGCCTGGGATGTAACTCAGTGGAGGAGTGCTTGCTTAGTATGTGCAAGGCCCTGAGTTCAATCGCCAGCATCAGGGGAAAAAAATTAAGTGAGTTTTATGTATTTTTATTGTCTGTTATTATTTTTATTGTTTATTTGCCATGGGTACTGAATCCAGGGAGGGCCTTGTACATGCTGAGCAAGCAGTCTACAGTTAAGCTACATCCAGTCCTATTTTCCATTTTTAAATGGTTACTAGAATATATAAAATTAGATACATGACTTGCATTATATTTCTCTTGGACAGTGCTGTGCTGGTTGGTTTCCACACACCAAGCCCTTGTTTTAGAAAACCTTTTTTTGTGTGTGTGGTGGTGGTGATGGTGCAGTACTTGGGTTTGAATTGCAGGGGCTTCACTCTACCGTCAAGCCGTGTATCTCCAATCCTTTTTATTAAGATGCAGTCTTGCCAAGTTATGCAGGCTGGGCTCAAACTTCAATTCTTCTGTCTCAGCCTCTTGAGTAGCTGGAATTACAGATGCCACCATTCCTGGCTTCTCTTTCAAGTTATTAGCTGAGTATGTCTTTTCCAAGTATCTTTTCTTTGACCACCTGGTATGGAGAACATTATGGTTGTTAAATTTTTGACTTAATGTTGATTCATATTTTTGCCTGTCAAAGCAGTGCGGTAGTCAAATTTAATTTTGTGAATCGTCAGGTAGACATTTATTTTAAACACCAACTATGAGACCTCTCAGTGAGAAAAGGTTTTACCAGTGTCCTGAATGGAGAAGCTTACAGTTCAGAAAAGAGAAAAGGAATCACCCAAATGCAAAGCAAAATCCATAACCTGTAATAGCTACAAATGCAGTGGGTGGAGTGTTGCATGGAGGAGATTAAGTCAACTGGAAGAAAGAAAATTTTCAGATGTTAGGCTTTTATCTGAACTTTAAGGTTATGGGAAAGGACATCCCTAGCAGTTGGTATCCTTAAGCAAAGTGAGAATAGCTAACAGGTGAAAGTGCTACAACAGGAATGGAGTGTTTTATGTCATGTCCATCTTTAAAAAAAACTTTTTCAATATTGGTATTGTGGCTTACTTAAATTTCTTCCCAGGATACAAAAGATTTTTATCCTTTGGAGAGTGATAAAAAAAGAAAAGGCAACATAAAGGGCAGAGGAAACAAATGGAAAAAAGAAGATCTTCAGGAAGTAGATGGAGAAATAGAAGCTGTCCTGCAAAAGAAAGGTGAGATGCCATTGTGGGTAGTAGTGATTGTGTTTGCTTCGAGGAAGCATATATTCTAATTTATTTGCTTGAGAGACTTTTGTGTGTACTTTTACTGGAAAATATTTCTGTATCTAATAGTCCTTTAATAGTGAGTTCACACTGAATCACTAACCTGCTCATCTCTTTTTGTTTCTTTACCAGCTAAAACCAGAGGGCTAGAATTGCAGATCTCCAATGTGAAGTTTGAAGATGTTGGAGGCAATGATGTGACATTAAAAGTTAGTTCCTATTCCGAATTTTACCTCCAGTGGGCATATTGCTAATCAGTTACACCAACAGAGCTTACCCCTTTGTTTTATGAACTGGTGCTGACAAGGAAACTTGGGAAGGTGAAAAGAGCAAACCTGTTTTGTACCCTTCGGGGTATTTGCGGATGAGAGAAGTGTGTTACTCTCAACTTTTTCACCTCTTCATGATGTGCATAGGGTACAAGCTTTGTGTGTGATCTTATTTTAATGGTACTGATAGTCAAGTCATTGCTGCTTTTTAATGTCCCCCATTTTGTCAGGTTGGTGAGTTAATTGTGTTACATCTATACAGTAGACATTTTTACAGCTTTAAAAAATAGAACTTCAGAGATTATTGATGAAGTTACATTGTAGATACTAGAACCAGGATTCAAGCCTGAGCCTAATAAAAAGCTTACTACTGTTTTGTTTTTATGAAAAATAAAGCATTTCATTCCGCCTTTGCTCTGTTTTGCGCTGAGGAAGGTAACTGCATTTTTCCCTACCAGGAAGTCTGCCAGATGCTCATACACATGCGTCATCCAGAGGTGTACCACCACCTGGGCATTGTGCCGCCTCGAGGTGTTCTCCTTCATGGGCCCCCTGGTTGTGGGAAGACATTGCTCGCACATGCAATTGCTGGGGTGAGACTGGCTGATACTTTTTCACTTTTGCTATTTTTGTTGTTACTATGTTTTGTGTTTTTTCTTGGCCAACTTCAGATAGATCTGATATCACTCAGAGAGTATGGTCATGAGAAATGGTCTTTTTATCTCTGTCTTGCTGCTTTTTATGGGATTTTAAAAAGTCAGTTACTGGGCCAGGGATATAGCTCAGTAGCACTGTGCACCTGCCTTGCAAGTGCAAGGTCCTGACTTTGATCTCTGGTACCAAAAAAAAAAAAGTTGATTACTACATACATGACAAAGAGTGAATGAGAAACAAGAATACAATTTTAAACAACTCTTTTAAATAATAGTTTATGTTGTAGTTATTTCCCTTTCCTTTTAACCAAATAATTCTAAGAGCAACACAGTAAAAAAATACTAGTACTGCTTTTATATAGGTAAATTCATTCAAAATTTCTTTTTCATGTTTCTACTTTTTTGGTGTTAAAATATCTTTTCTAGATGGTTATACAGAATACCTGACAAAATAAAGTTAGTGATTTTATTTTAGCCCTATAAGATTTTTTTAGAAATTATTGGGTAGTAAAATGCAAAATATCCAAGTAACTTAAGATCATTGAATAGCATATTATACTAGTCATTAACAGATTAATGTTCTGCAAAAGAAAATCTTTATTTATTTATTTTTGTTGTATCTTGGGATCGAACTCGGGACCTTGCACTTGAGAGTCAGGCAATGGCACCACTGAGTTAAATCTCCAGCCCAAGAAAATTTTTTTTTTTTTTTTGGTACCAGGGTTTGAACTCTGGACCTTGCACTTGTGAGGCAGGCAGCAGAACCACTGAGCTAAATCCCCGGCCCAAGAAAATCAGTTTTAAAGAACTTGAATGTTCATTTGTTTTGTTGAATAAATCTGTTGTGTGGCTGCTGCATGGCAAATGTTGGAATATGGCAATAAGTACAAAAAATTAGTTTTAATATGAAAGGGAGACATTAAACTAATTCATGTCCACAAATGCAGTATGTAGTAATTATAGAAGGTGGAACAAAAAGTATAGAATCCTGTGTAGAGTTTTGGGACATCTAGGTTCGAGTCAGGGTCAAAAGTATGATTGAGGAAGTGAAATTTCAGGATAGCCCGAATGGTTTATTGCCATTTGCACTGATGGAATTCCTGATCTTTTTTTTTTTCCTCTTTTTTTTTTTTTTTTTTTTTTTTTTTGAGACAGGGTCTCGCTATTCTGTCCAGGCTGGCCTCAAATGTACGGCCATCCTCCTGCCTCAGCCTCCGGAGAGAAGATTCATTTTTACCACAGATCTTGGCAACTTTGGCACAGTATTTTTTCCTTTCCTCAGTAACTCGAGAACTTTCACCTTTCCACTTCTACTGCTAATTCCTAGTCCTTTTCATTTATTTTTTACTTTGAAACAGTCTCATTAAGTCATTAGCACATTCCCAGTGGCTTGAACCACCAATGGCATGACTGTCCCATTGGGAGGCTTGTATCACCAGTGGTAGAAATGGATCTAATAACCTTTATTACTAATAAAGTTTAAAAGTCTATAAAGGACTGAATCTGCTTGGTTGCTTGAATTTGATTTATTACTGCCTAGATATAAATTAATAACTATTCAGGCCAATTATTACAATAGGGCCAGGGATTTAGCTTAGTGCTGCCACACTGCTCACCTTGCAAGCACCAAGTTCTGAGTTCGATCCTCAGTACCAAAAAAAAAAATTGCAATAACCAAATCATTAAAAGACATTTATGTTGACTAATAGTTTATCAACAATTCTCTAAATTTTAACGTGGAAATCTTACATATACCCCTTTGCTGGTATAAAAAATATGCATTTACAACTGCTGTACCACAAATTAGCGGTATTACCATTTTTTAATACCATTTTAGTGCTTTCCATAAGGAACTGTAATATGACATGTGGTCTGCTAAATCAATGCCTTTCTTTACACTATTGTAATCAAAGAGCCCCAGAAAAATGGCACAGGCTGCCTTTTGGGACAGTTTTCATCATAGCGGTGGTTCAAGCTGATGTAAGGATTGAATTCAAAGCAGAGCCACCCAGCGCAAGACATAAATTATCTCCCCATCATGAACATGTTAAGTTGCTTGGACTGGGCTTGAACTTGTGATCTTCCTGCCTCAGGGTCCCACAGTGCTGATATTACTGGCATATGGTTCATGCCGGGCTTCTCTTCCGTAAAGAGCCTACCTTGAATAGTAACTGGCTATGGTAGGCTGAAGAAATGCAAGCAGGGCGTGTGTGGGAAACAACTCTGCCATTTCTCATGTAATCAGATCACCGATACAGTTGTTTTAGCTCAATCCTAAGTGGGGGAATTGTATTTCTTCATATTTAAGGGGTGATAGATTTTTATAGTGACATTAGTAAAGTGAAAACAGGTAGAAAGTCTCTGCTTAATGTGTTTTCATAAATTATCAGTCCTTTTCATGGGATCAACTCACAAAGATGAAGTTCCTAGGGAAATCAGTCATATTAACAATGTAACTTTGGTGAGGGGCTGGGTTGGAAACACTAAGGTTAATATTTGAATATTTGGTCATGCTTTTACATGTTTGTGCACAGGAACTTGACCTGCCGCTCCTGAAAGTGGCTGCTCCAGAGATTGTGTCGGGAGTTTCTGGGGAATCTGAACAGAAGCTCAGAGACTTATTTGAAGAAGCTGTGGTGAGTTAGCTAAGGGCTAATGTCAGGTTGTCAGATGTTACACACTTTCTCTGATTAGCGGTTCTTTTTTTACGCATGGCAATTGGCAACACATGACACCTAAATATTTAAAGTAGATTTAATGATGATGGGCTCTTATATAAGTAATCTGTTTGATGTGAAATCAAACATAAAGGTAATTTGTAGGAAGTTCTGGGCTGTCACACCCAGTAGTCATATGTTGAATATGTATATCATCTTTAGGACATTTTCATTCATTTTTACTTTATTCAGTGTAGGTTTGATCAGACAACTAAGCACTGTGAACATTGTTAGATCTAGGCTTATTGCGTTATCAAAGAAACCATAAAAATACCAGAATAAACACTTCTATTTGTATAATTGAAGCTGTATAAAGAAAACTCTACTAGATAATTAGATTGGATTTTACCCTAATCATAATTTCTATATTTAAAAATTGGCACTTTTCTTTTTTGGCTTTTACGTTACTGGAAGGTGAAAAAAAAATTTGGAAGGTGATGTATACATCCCATTAAAGTTTTACCTTATCAGGCCAGGGATTTAGCTCAATGGTTCCACTGCCTGCCTCCAAGCACAAGGTCCCGAGTTGGATCCCTGGTGTCCAAAAAATAAAAGTTTTACCTTTTTATTTCTTGGTCCTTGGCTATGGTCAAGTATAAAATTTTTTATCTTCAACACAGCATATTGGTTAAGCATCCATACTTTGAGTGAGAAAGGTAGGTGCAGATCCTGTGCTACATGTGATGTTGGACAAGATATTTAACCACTTGTTCCCTCAATTTCCTTACTTGTAAATATGGGTAATAGGGCTGGGGGTTTAGCTCAGTGGTGTCACTCCCTGCCTCATAAGCGCAAGGACCCAGGTTTGATCCCTGGTACCAAAAAAATATATATGGGCAATAATATGCCTAAATCTTACATTGTCGTTGAGAGTATTTATAGCTAGAACCCTGTAAATATTAGCCATCATGTTATACACACTTGAACAGAAATTACTTGAACAGTTAGAAATTATCACTGTGGCTAAAACTAAAAGATACTGAAAAATTTAATTTCATGTCTTTATTTGCATCTAGGGTATATATATAATGGCTGCTGAACATGTCTGGTACAACTGCTAGAGGCTGGTGTGAAATTAGAAGTTAAATTATATCTTAGCAGTGATTTGAGCGGTAACTAAGAAAAGATATTTCAGGGGGAGAATATTTTAAAATAAGAGTGGAGCCCCTCTACTTGGTGCTTGGTTTGTTGTGTAGGCTGACAGCGTGTGGGCATGATAAGGAAGGATGCAGAGAAAGGTGGGAAAGGCAGTGTGCAAAGCCAAGCTGACTCCTTCTGTGGTGCCTCCTGTTTTCCAAAATGTGCCAATTCTGTGGTTCAGTGACATATATAGCTACGGATAGGTAGTAAGTTTTGTGTTTGTGGTAAACACAATGCTGAGTAATGATAAAAGAGACAAATGACAATTTTGGGACATGAATTTTGTATTTTCTCTAAATTAGTACTGTACTTAACAATCAGTGTTCAGTAAAGACATGATTTAGCAGCCTCTTCCTTGAGCTCAAAAGGTGAAAGATCAGAAAAGGTAGTTCATTCTGCCTTAGCCTCCTGGGTTCTAGGATTACAGAGGTGTACCAGCACACCTGGCTTTTATTAATTTATTTATTTGTCAGGATCTTGATATGTAGTTCAGGCTGGCTTTGAACTCAACTGTGTGGCCCATGCTAGCCTTAAACTCTCATGGCAATCCCCCTGCCTTAGCCTCCCAGCTGTGTGCCACTATACCCAGCTTTTAATTTTTTATTAATATGGAAATTTTTCTGTTGGTAAAAATACTCATAACATTTGTAGTGAACTTAGGATTTCTTATTTAAAATTTTAAAAGTTTATATTCTTTATGATAGAAAATGTCTACAAAAGAATTTCAGTAGATGTATCAAAATGTGGATTGATGAAAAGACTGTGATAGCCTACCTATAGTCTCTTTCTGTCCTCTTTTAAACATCTTGGTCCCCTTTAAGACACAGAAATCAGACCTAACACTGTGAGGGTAATTTTTTTTTTTTTTTGAGACAGGGTCTCACTGTGTAGTTGAGACTGACCTGGAACTCACTATGTAGCCCAAGTTGGTCTCCAACTCACAGAGATCCTCCTGCCTCGGCCTCCCAAGTGCTGGGATTACAGGCATGCGCTACCATGCCCAACTTGTGAGGGTAATTCTTTCAGTGAATGATACTTGATCTTTAAAATGCTAAAAAATGCACATAGGGAATATATGTTTGATTGTCTCTCTGTGATATTTTTATTTCTAGTCAAGTGCTCCATGTATTGTTTTCATTGATGAAATTGACGCTATTACTCCCAAAAGAGAAGTTGCTTCAAAAGATATGGAACGAAGAATTGTAGCTCAGCTTCTATCCTGTATGGATGGTTAGTTTCAATAACGAATTCATTTAAAGATAATGCATTTCATAAAACAGTATAAGTCATACGTAAAGATATAAAATATTCAAACAGTAAATGTCACAGTGTAAAATAAGAAATCTTTCTTTTATAAGACTAAAACCCTACTTTAATTTGTGAAATGTATCTTATTTACATCCACATATACTAACACCTTGTTTTGCTTTTCATAATTCTGGCATTGCACCATACACTCTGTTCTCCATCTTATTTGTCCCTTAACAGTATGCCTTGGAAATATTTCCACATTTTTTTTAACCTGTTTGAAACTGATATCAGTTAAGATAGAAATGCCATATTGGGTTTAAACATTCCCACACTGATGGATATTTAAGTTGTTTTCAATCTTTTTTGCTTCAAGGGAATGTTCTTAGAAAGGGCCTTTTTGGTGCACATGTATTTTTCTATAAGTAGTAGAAATTGAGTTGATAGTTGAAAATTATCTGTTTTAAATTTTTATGGGAAGCTGGATACGGTGGCCCACGCCCAGGCTAAGGCAGGAGGAGTTCAAGGCCATCCTGGACTATATGATGAGACTGTCTGAAAACCAAAAAAGAAGAGATGTTTTTTGCTTTTTAATGGAAGAGGGAAATTACCTTCTAAGAGTTTGCAGTTTACATATCCCCAACACTGTATGAGTCTCCCTTTTTCACATTACCAATTATTTAAACTTGAGCCAATCTGTTTATTGAACGTTGGTATCTCAGTTAATTTTAATTTGCATTTTCCAATTGTGGCTATTCATCTTTTTTATTTCTTTGGCTGTTTGTATCATCTCCGAAATCTTTTCTTATTCCTCTGCCCATTGCTCTATTATCTTTTAAAAAATGGCTTGTAGGTTGAGGGTGTAGCTGAGTGGCAGAATGTTTGCCTAACCTGTGGGATGCCCTATTTGATTCCCAGCATCACTAGATTTGAAGGAGTACTTTTTTTTGAGATAGGGTCTCACTGTGTCGTTGAGACTGACCTGGAACTCACCATGTAGCCCAGGCTGGTCTGGAACTCACGGCGATCCTCCTGCCTCAGCCTCTGGAGTGCTGGGATTACAGGGGTGTGCTACCATGCCCGGCTTGAAGGAGTACTTTTAACATGGCACAAATTTTCTCCCTGTCTGTAACTTGTTTTTAATTTGTTAATTTAGGTATCAGGGATCAAAATCAGAACCTTTCATTAGTAAGGCAGGCACAGTGCCGCTGAGCTAAATCCCTGACCCCTGTTTTTGACTTATTTTTAAAATATAATTATGAGATGCACATTTGGGGGATAGGAATCAGAAATTTTAGAATCAGATTCTACCTCCTTTGAAATTCTATCTGCTTTTCTATGTATATTTTGTGTACACAGGAAAGATTGAAGTAGTACATATTTTGTGTTCCTTGTGCCAATTTCAAGTTGCTTATTCTGTTACTTTATTTTATTTGTGGTAGTGTTATTGAGGCCTATATTCTGAAAAGAGCTTTTCATAGATTTTTCTACCTAAACAATATAGTATCATGATTTTTTGTTTTGTTTTTGAGGGGTTTGGAGGGGCGGTGTTGAGGCAAGGTCTCACTGTGTAGATTAGGCTGGCTTGGAACTCCCTATGTGGCCCAGGCAGTCCTTGAATTCAAGGTGATCCTCCTGCCTCACCCTCCCAAGAGCTGGGATCAAGGTGTGCACCACTACACCCAGCTAAATCCTCATGATTTAATTTGCATCTTCCTCCTTCCTGTAAGGGAGTGTAACTTCAGATTCCCTGCTGTTCAATCCTGGTTCACATGGAAGAAATAACATTTAGGAAAGATAAACATTAAACCTTGCATTCTGTCCATTCCTTTAAAAAATATCTCTAGATGAAGGCAGAACAGCTTGGACTTTTGTGCCCTGTGTCTGAACCTGATTCGTCATCCTTCTGAGACATACTGCTATCATCCTTAGTTTCCCCATTGTCGTATGCACACCTTGCCCAAACATACTACGTGTGCTCCAGTCTCTGTTTTTACACATTCTGTATAGAATTTCGTTAAACTGTATCTTTGTTTCTCAAAATCATATTCATCTTTCAGACTTTTCTGAAATGTTATTGCTTCCTTAACTCTTCTGTTGCAGTTCGTAATACTTTCCTTGTTTTACAGCAGTGTTTTTTTTTATATAGTACCAATCACTGTATCACAACCCTTGTCTTATACTGTTTTCTTATATACTTAAATTTCTGAATAGATCATAGTAACTGAGAACAAATTTGGTATTTTGTCTTCCCCATACTCTTTACATGGTAGACATATAATAAATGTTAGTATTTTATATGTATATTTAAAAGACATATCTGTTAAAATGTGCAATACTTTTAAAGTATTGAGTGATTTGTATAAGAATTGTTGCCCTCGGAGTCAGCTGTTTTGTTCACCTCTCATCTGTAGCTGGTTCTTACAGATCTGAATAATGTGGCTGCTACCGCTCAAGTCCTAGTCATTGGAGCTACAAACCGACCAGACTCATTAGACCCTGCTTTGAGACGTGCAGGAAGGTTTGACCGAGAAATATGCCTAGGTATCCCAGATGAAGCTTCCAGGGAAAGGTATATTTATTCTTACTAAATGATGTCATATTGCTCCTATTTCATTATCTAGAAATACTGTATAGCCTTTTTCATCAGTGACACTGATTTGGAAAGGAAAAAGTCCACATAACAATGCTTAAAGAAAACAGCTTACTCATCAATAGGATAACTGTTCAGGGTGTTTTTCAGCAGTGATTAGAGAGACTTAGGTGCTCACATTCATTGCTCTGGTCTTGATAATAGTGGCCTGTGATTTTTAGTGCTCACCAGTTGAGGGCAGTGTCTGGAGCCATGGGATAGAGCAGTACTGGCTGGGCCACAATGGCAGAACCTCCTCCACATGTTTCAGCTTCTGCACTAGCCTAAGACCATGGGTCAGTGAGAGAGTTGAACGCCTTGCTTTCTAGGACCAGGCCTTCATTGGTATTAAATATCCAGAGAGCAAATAGATGTCCACCAGTGAACAAAAATAAAACTATAATAAAAAATATCTCAGGAAGCACTGTTTAGGTAGTAGAATAGAGATCTTGTGAGAAGTGCTCTGAACTATTACATTGATAATGGCTACTCTCTTAACCTCACTAAAGTTTGGTGTAATCACCAACCACTTTTAGGAACAGTGGTAAATAAAGGAAGATAATAGTCATAGGGTATTGGCTTCATCTTCATACACAGTCTGGAGTGATGCATAGTTGCTGTCCTAGGATGCCCACTTCCATCAGAAACCTACACTGGCTGTTTCCTTTCTTGGGTCCCCAGTTGCTAGAACCCACCCACCTTGTCTTTTTTTTTTTTTTTTTTTTTTTTTT